GTTATTGGTTCCTAATATCATTGTACTGTCACCAGAAAAGGGGATTTGTTTGTCTTTGGTACTTGTTTATATTTTCTTTGTGCCCTAATACGTGGTCAAGTTTTATACATTCCTTATACATTTGTAAAGAATGTATATTCTCTAATTGCTGGGTGCAGGGTCCATTGGATCCACTTTATTGTTTAAATCTTCTGTTCCTAACAACATTTTATGTGTTTGTTTTACAAGTTATTTAGATGTGTTAAAAAAAATCTCTCTAACGATGATGATGAATTTGCGCATTTCTTCTTGAAATTCTGCCAAGTTTTGCTGTATATATTTTGAAGCTATGTTGTTAGGTACAAACCATATTATGTATGGTGAAATGTTTCTTCTACTTTTACGCAATGATTTAAAAAAAAAAGATATTTAAGTAATCTCTATACTCACTGTGGGTCTTGAACTCACAACCCTGAGATCAAGAGTTGCATACTCCACCAAGTGAGCCAGCCAGGCACCCCATCTGTGATGACCATTTTTATCCTCAGTAATGCCTTTTGTTTTAAGACCAATTTTGCCTGATAGTAATGTAATCGTACAGCTTCCTTTTGGTTATAGTATTTTTCTACTATATCTTTTCCCATCATATTTTCCCCTATATCTAAGTTTCAGTGTGGTTTAAAAAAAAATTTATTTATTTGAGAGAAAGCGAGCACGACCAAGTGGGGGGAGGGGCAAAGGGAGAGGGTGAGAATCTCAATCAGACTCCCTGCTGAGTGACGCAGGGCTGGATCTCACAGACCTGAGATCATGACCTGAGCTGAAACCAAGAGTCTGAGCCACCCAGAAGCCCCATATGTGTCAGTATGTTTTAATGAAAACAAAGTCTGGTTGCATCTTGCTTTGTTTTGTGTTTTTCTCTAATCTGACGTTCTTTATCTTTTACCCTAAAAGTTTTGATTATTTACATTTACCCCCATCACTAATATACTTGGAAATATTTATGCCACTTTATATTGTTTTTGCCATTTGCCGTGTTTTTTCCTTTGCTTATTTTTACCCTTTTTCTGGACTTAATGAAGTTTTCTGTATTCCCTTTTCTTTCTTGTAATGTACATTTGTAAGTTGATCGGCATTTTAGGTTTTAAGTTCATCAGTACCTCCACTCTCCTTACAAACAAATAAGGACTTTAGAATATTGAAATATGATCATTCCCTCCCATCAGACATATTATTTTCCAGTATTAAAATGCTGTTTCATAGCCCTCAAATTAGTTTAAGCATGGCCAGATCCAAATGCTCAAATGACTAATAAACAAAAACAGAGATCTTCAAAGCAGTGGTTCAAACTAGAGAGAAGTGCTCTTCCTTTCTCACACAGCGTTTAAGCAATCACATGGCCTGAGGCTGTTAAGCAGCTGCATCCTATTAGGTCTCCCAAGATAGGTTTCTTCCATCTTGTTCTGCTACTCTCCCCTACCCAGGGTTAAATCCTGGCACCGGAATGTTCTTAACCACCTAGTCATAGTCATTTTAACTACCCATGTTCTACCCTTTGGGGAGGGAGAAAGATGAAATTGAACACAAGCAAATTCCTTTAAGGGAGTGACCTGGGACGTTGTATAATTGCTCTTTGCTGCACAGTCTCTTGCTGGGTGACCGAGAACCCAACCACAACTTGGAGGCTTCCGTTCTAAAAGGGAAGAAGGTGAGAATGGGCTTCAGGAAACAAACTGCTGTCTTCATAGACATTACCAGAATCCTGTGTCCTCTTCTGATTTTCGCTGTGTTTGCTTCCACCTTGGGCAGGGAGCTCCCCCTACTCCCCACTCCCAGTGATGGCAGAGATGATCACTAACAACTCTATTCTCGTGGTCTCTCATTTTAGCAATTCCAGTAAAAAAGAGAGTGCCTCCTTACAATTAGTTCCAGCTAAAGTCCAGGATTTCCCCCTGAGGGCCCCAATGTGGATCAGCTAGTCACTTTGGCCAGGGGGACATAGTGCCCTGGTAACAGGTGTGGGTCACATAGTCAGCTTTGGAAGGTGGGCTAAGTAGGTTTAATCCCATCCAAACCCTATGAACTGAAAGTAAGAAAGGAGTGGTCCCCAAAAGCCAAATAATGAGGTGCTGTTGTCATCAGAATGGATGCTGAGCAAGCCACGGTAACAGAGAACCATTAGACTTATCTCTTGGGCCATTGGATGGTTCGAGAAGGATGTATCACTGAGTGTGTTTTAGAAATCCAAATGAATGAATATGGAAGGTGATATTGATAATGAAGTTGCCGGGAACGCTCTTACTTACACTTCTGATAGGAGAGCTTCTACTCATCTTCCTTAGTCATTCATTCAGCACCTTGCAAATGAACCTGTTATGCTGACCATACTGTTTGCTAATTATTTGTCTGTCTTCCAATTGTCCATAACACACCCCTCTAACTGACGGCTCCCACAGAGCTAGAATTCATTTGTGTTCCACAGTGCCCAGGGCACAGAGTGAGCATCAGGAGATGAGACTTGCTAAACGAAAAAAAGGGAAAGTCTCAATGAACTCTCAGTTCCCCCCTCCAATTTCTAGTTGCCTTGAAAAAGGCATTATTGAAAATTATTGAAATTATTGAAAAATTATCATTATTGGAAAGACATCAGCCAAATCCCACGGAGTTCTACAGAACTGAGGGTCAGACCAGATTATGTTGTTTGTAGAAATGTATCTCCTAATGACTGGAAAACAGTGCCAGGCATCATTTTATTTATGGAACTCAAATCAAATCATAAAAGACGAAGACCCAAATAGGAGGAAGTTCAACAGATAAGTGATTAATCAGAGTTGTCTTCTCATCCTGTTTGACCCCAAGGTTTAAAAAAAACCAAAAACCCAAAACACAGTGGTGTTTTGCAGTTCCTAATCTAAAGGATTAGATTTTATTTATTCTAATTTATGTCATTTATGACATAATTATGTCACAATTATGACTTTCTTCCCTAGAAACACCAATGCCCCCAGCTTACTTGATGCTGAAAACTCTGCCTGTCTTGGAGAGAAACAGAGCTGAAGGCTAGTGAATGTTGCTAGGGATAAGAAGTAGAGAACAATGCAGGAAATGTAAACGGAGGGATATCAAGGAGAGACCAAAAGGTAGTAGGAAAAACAAGAGGTCTTCCTGAAGAAGGTGTCCAAGTGGCTGGCCTGCTTGGAAAGCTCCACCTAGGCTTTCCTGGGTGCGTCCTTTGAATACTAATAGCTACCATTCATCGAGTTATTGCTATATACCAGGTGTGGTGATAAGCATTTTTAGCACATTATCTCATTTTAATTCTCAACCCTGCAAATTCAGAATTGGTACTCCCGTTCACAGATAAAAGATCAGAAAGGTGCAGTGACATGTCCATGGCCATACAGCTAAGGAATGTAAAAGCCAGAATTTGAATCACTGTGGACTTCATTTGACTCAAAGCTTCTGCTCTGAGTCCTTAACTCTCTTCACAAAACGACTTTGAGATAGCTCTGATTTTCTCCATTCTACAAAAGAGGCTACTGAGGTCCAGGGATGACCCAACTTGCCCAAGTGACACAGTGTGTCAGAAACAATCAAGCCTGTCGGACTCCGAAGTCTACTGTGCGTCCTAGGTAGAGGAAGAGCAAAAGCCAGGGGTCAGGAACATGCCAGTAAGTCCCTGTGAATCAGGCGCGACCGTGTCCTAGGACACGATTTCCTTGTTTCCTTTCCATCCCCCCCAACCTCCACACTTAAGGCCATTCCAAGAATTTTCTTTTTCCTGCTCTCCCCAGTATGGCCTCTGGGCTGAATAGGGACTTGGTAGTTCTTGGGAGGCTCTAAGACACCCTTTCCCCAAAGGTCCCCTAATAAAGAAACAGCCAGGGCCCCACCAGCCTGGGAACTCTCACATCCCTACACATCTGAACAAGGTTAGTGCATGAGTGACTGGTGCTTGAATCAGGAACCAGCCAAATTGAGTTCAAATTCCGCCACCAGCCACTGGCCAGTAACACCAGCTTTCTTTTTTAAAAGCGTCTATTCTGGGACAGACATTTCACTAGAGATATCCTTCATATTTTAAAACCTGAATCCCCCCTCCTCCATGATTGGCCCCATTTTACAAAAGAGGAGCCTGAGGCTCCCGGCGGAGAAGCGACCAGCGAAAGGACAGCCAGTCATCACCAGCCTGGGACTTGAAGCCACCCAGGCCCCAGATTCTGCTGTCGCCTAGGAGCCGAGGAGGGAGGAGCTGCCAGAGCGCAGGGGGGAGGGGAAAGAACCAGGCGAGCTCAGGGCAGCGCGCGCTGACGACAGCAGGTGATTTTTTTCTGCAGAGCGCTTTCTCTCAGCGCCTTCCTTGGATTTTTTTTTCCCCCAGTCGCCGAGCAGTAGATAAGGGTGGGGCCGCTTCCCTGCAGCAGAGACGGCAGCGGCAGTGGCTGAGGCATCGTTGGGAGCAGCGGCTGCAGCAATGCTCGGTCTCCGCTGGAGGTGAATCACCTCCAAGCCCTGCTAGGTGGCCGGCTGAGACGGGACGCATCGGGGAGGGAGAATAGAGCCTCGTCCGTGGCCCCTGAGGCCACCCTGCTCGGTCCTTCCTCTACGCCATGGCTTAAGCCCGCAGCCACCTCGTCTCGCGTCGCCTCGCTTGGCCGGGGTCTGCGCGCCGCCGCAGCAGCAGGGAGGGGCGCGACCCAGACGCCCTCGCCCGGGGACTCCGGGACGCCGGGTGGCTCACCCATCGGTGCCCGCAGCAGACTGCGCTCCCAAGACCTTTACAAGCGGCTCCCGGAGGCGTTTGCTGCCGGTAATCGGGGGGACTTTACGGACTTTAATCTCAGTGATAGCTTGACCTTCCTGGGTGCTCTCTGAGGGAGGAGAGCGAGGTAGCCCAGGCCACCAAGGGAAAAAAACAGTGGGAACCAGACTGGTCGAGGGCCGAGGGACTGAAGTAAGATTAGAGACTTGCTTTAGAGCCACAAAAAGAAAGAGGGAAGGCCAGCTTTGCAGCTAGCATCATGGCGTGGCCGTGCATCACGCGGGCCTGCTGCATTGCCCGCTTCTGGAACCAGCTGGACAAGGCGGACATCGCCGTGCCGCTGGTTTTCACCAAGTACTCGGAGGCCACCGAGGCCCCGAGCGCCCCGCCGCAGCCGCCGCCGCCCCAGCAGCAGCAGGCGCAGCCGGCGCACGCGCCCCCCTCGGCTAGGGCGGTCGCCATAGAGACGCAGCCGGCCCAGGGCGAGTTGGATGCAGTTGCCCGGGCAACGGGGCCGGCGCCCGGGCCTAGCGGGGAACGCGAGGCGGCGGCTGCGGCCGGCCGGAGCGGGCCCGGCGCCGTCCCGAGCTCCGGATCCACCTCCAGCGCAGGCCCCGCGGACTCGGTGATGCGTCAGGACTACCGCGCCTGGAAGGTGCAGCGGCCAGAGCCGAGCTGCCGGCCGCGCAGCGAGTACCAGCCTTCCGACGCGCCCTTCGAGCGCGAGACCCAGTACCAGAAGGACTTCCGCGCCTGGCCGCTGCCGCGCCGCGGGGACCACCCGTGGATCCCCAAGCCCGTGCAAATCCCCGCGTCCTCCCAGGCTTCGGTGCCGATTCTCGGGGCCTCCAAGCGCCGGCCTCAGAGCCAGGAGCGCTGGCCCGCGCAGGCCGCCGCGGAGGCCCCAGAGCAGGAGGCGACCCCTGGCGGAGCAGGTGGCCCCGCCGCCGGAAAGCCCTCAGGGGCAGACGAGCGCGACACGCGCAGGAAGCCTGGGCCCGCCTGGATGCTGCGTCGCGCCGAGGGGCAGGCGCCGGAGCAGGCGCCGCTGCCCGCCGCCCAGGCCCCGGTCCAGGCCGCGGGCCTGGAGGCTGGCAAGGGACGGGCAGCGGTGGACGCCCTCAACAGGCAAATCCGCGAGGAGGTGGCGAGCGCGGCGGGCAGCTCCTACAGGTGAGACGCGGGCCGCCGCTCAGGCGACGTGGCGGGTCACCCTTACCCTTTTGCGGAGGCTGCCCAGGGGTGGGGGGTTGGGGGTGGGGTTCTTCTCCGCACCGCGGGCCTCAAGTGCAGCCCCTCCCCTGCCAGACCACACCCTCTCCTCGGCGGTAGCTCAGACACCCTGCCAAGGCTGACTTCTTTCAGCTCTTTCTTACGGGAAGGCTGTTAGTACTATCCGTCCCCGCCTGCCTAGGTTTTTCCCTTTACCACTTGGGCATCTTTCCCCCCATCCCCGCCCCACCTCGGATCCCCGCTTGCTGGACCGAGACCCTTGGCAGTTTCTTCACAGGCGATGCCATTCCGCCCCACCCACTTGAGCGGTATCAGCCCCTCGCTGCCCGCTCGGCTGTTGCCTATATCAGCCTTGGCGCTCCCCCACAGGGCCCGGTCCTCCTAGAAGAATTCTTTCTCAGTGGCCAATCCCCTCCTCCTTAGCCCAGTTCCCTCCGCCTTTCATTCTTCCCTCCCTCTCTCAGTCCCTGGGAGACATCCAAACACCACACCCTTTTCTTGATTCCCCGCGGGGCTCTTACTGCTCACCTTCCTCCTTCTACCATCAGGCTTTGAAGTCGGATTCCTTCCTCCTCTCAGTAGCTGAGTCACACTGAGCACGTTTCTTAACCTTTCTGGGCCTTAGGTTCTTAGGTGTAAGACGCGATTGATCATAGATCGTTCTCTTAGACTTGCTTGTTCATTTATTAATTATTAATATTTAACTTATTTTTGAGCACTTACTATATGCCTGGCACTGCACGAGACATTGTGAGGATTACATGAGATGGCCGGGGAGAATTAAGCCTGGCACACAGTAGGTGATGAGAATGTCTTAGTGCCATTACAATCTTGTGCATGATCCCTCATTATTCTGATTTCCACTTCCTAGATACCTCCAGCCTTCTCCCCATTGATGCATTTCCTTTCTCCCTTCTCTTTATGTTTTCCAGTTGTGTTGCTCATTCCATTACCAAGACCCTCCTCTTTAGCACATTTAAATTCCCTCTAAATGAATGCCTTCAAGAAAGCACATATCCATTTTCTCTCTTTCTTTCTCCCTCCCTCTTCCCTTGCCTCTCCCTCTCTCCATCCTTCTAGAATTCTCTCTGTGCTGCAGCCTCAGCCCTTCCAACTTGCTTTCTCACCCTGTGCCTCCAATATGTTTTTCTGAATGCTTAGCTCCCCATCCTCCCCTTATGTTTCCACCCAGATCAAGCACTAAGAGATCTCATTTGACTCTGAACATGTAACATTAGGCTTTAGGGTCTCTGGGGAAACAGATGTGCAAGATGAAAAATTGAGCTAGAGGGGTTCAAAATGTGGCTTATGGGGTCCTTCATCAATGCCACAGCCAGTTGCCTCCTTCCTGCAGAAGACCGTGGTTGGGAGGACTGCAGAGTTAGTGTCTTTTGCCAAGACCCCTGTATGTAGCCTCATACCAGACTGATGTCTTTCTCCAGTGAACGTACCAACCACTCCCTCATATGCTGAGGGAAGCATAGTGGAGATAGATATCCTCTTTTTAAAGACAAAATTCCTCTCTCAGGTTTTAAGTCTGGAAAGCATTTCTCAATGAGAAGGGGCAGCTAATATTCGGCTCTGACTCCATCTCCCCACCTCCCCACCCCACCTGGCATTTCTCTCTTGGTTTATTGTTAGCACAACCACAGTGGTCCCTGAGGAGTGTACTACTTTTTTTATGGCTTTGGGTTGGGCAAGATCCTTTTCCTTGATTCAGAGCTATCAGAAGTAGAATTTGCACCATATCTTTGTTCTACTGCCAAGGGAGAACCAAAAAGAAAAGAAGGAAGCAAATAAACAAGGGGCATAAAAAACAAAACCAAGGTGTAGTTTTGTGATTCTGCTTGTTTCCAAGGCAGGCCCCACTTCATTCCCAAAAAACCCTAAGATTCGCCCAGCATCACAGATTTCTGATCTGTCCTCCTCATCTTCCTACTCCCACTCCCTGCTCCTACTCCTGGGTAGTAGTACCTGGTGGCAGGTGGAACCTTAACACCCACCATGCAGGAAACTACCCCTCCCCACCTCCAGAGAGTCAATGCCAATCAAGAGAGATCCCAAATTCTCAAATCTCCTTTGGTGATCCTACTCGGTTTATATTTCCAAGTCAATAGGACTTGCTTTGTCCATGAAAAATGGGCTAGACAGTCAGGGGATGACCTACCCTTCAGATACAGCCCACTCCAGGTATATTGGCTTGCACCTTTGTTCCATATGGCCTCTTCTCCCAAAACCCCACCTTCACTGTATAGTAAGCATGTCAGGCTTTACCATTAGGATTATACTCATACTGCAAGTGATGGGATTGAATGGGGGAAGGATCTGCTTTTGCAGCTGGTGAAAATGATTGTTTTTAGTGGCTATCACAATCAGAACTCCACCAACCTGTCAAAAAAAAAAAATCTCTGAGCACCTCAAAAGAATTTTTTTTTCTCATTTGGGTCTTCTGTAAAATTTAATTACGTGTGTGACTTTGGGGTCAGCAGTTCCATTTTGCTGTATAATTAGAAGGGTTTGGACGTATTAAGAGAACAAGTGTTGCTAAGAGACATCGGTTTCCTTAATGGACAATTTAAGTGCATGACCAAGTTGGTGTGAAATTTAACATTGTTTTCTGTTTCAGAAGAAAAATTAACCAATAGGGAAATGCACTTCGGGTGAAAGTAGACATGAAGAAATAAGACAATTAATCAAATATCCCATAAAGAAAAAAATGCCTGGAAACTGTAGGCTTATCTGGAACATTGATTTTCTTTCCCTATTGTCTCATGTTCTTTTCCTTGCTATGATTCCAAATACCTCCTGAATCTAAGTATGCCCCACGACCGGCATAGATGAGTCTTAACATTGCCTTATTAGAAGCCAGATTGGGTTCCATTTCAAAGATAATTTGATTTACAAAACCCTTTTCTTCTGCCACTCTACATAAATCATGGTGGCTTACACCATGGTGACTGGTTCATCTCATGGGCTTTCCAAGTGACATCTGTCACATGACATCAATGTGAGCAGTTGGCTTAAATAGAGAAAAGGACACACAATCCATCAGCTTAACATATTGGCATATAATGTAAAATATACAGTCAGCTTGCGGAGACATATACATACTCTTTGGTTTTTCTCTTACGATATACAGTCAGTAGAAAATACCAAACATCCTTTGACACGATGATTTTGAGAAACCTTCCCAAATCAACAGTTCATCTAATTCGTAACGTATCTGCACTAGCCTGGGATTTTTGCATTAAGTGCTATCTCGGGTATCTTTCATTATTCACAATCATGAAGTTGATTAATTTTTAGTACACTCATTTTACATAATGATGTTATAAGATTGAGAAGCATGTCCCTGTTACCACTTTGAACGTTAAAGATGGATTTCGCCAGGCAGCCACTTGTGACTTTAGACCTAGCATTCTCAATTAGAAAAGAGATGAGTCATGAGAAGGGGATTAAAATTCTCGTCTCAGTCCAGTCCGTCCCATTGCCCCAGCCATCAGTTAATAGGGATAGATGGGGTGGCAGGTGTTCCCCATAGAAATGCTAATGAGAGACTTCTCCTGAAAGAAATCAGCTGAGGCACCAGGAGGTAGAATTAATAAACCAGAGGCAAAATATTTGACAAATGAGAGCAGTATCAAGGAAATTGGAAAGAAAAGGAGCCTTTCGTATCTGCCCTATAGTCTTCCATGAAGGTTAGAGAAAGGCCCGTCTGACGTGGCTTCTGCTGGCAGAACTGCCCTTTGCTTCTGGAGCAACTCCCCACTTCCCTAATTTCTTCCTGGGCAAGTCTCAGAGATACTTCAAGGCCAATCTCAGATACTGAATCTTTAAGGATATCTTCCAGGTGCTGCCATTCAGAGCCAATCTTTCTTGCATTCCCTTTCTATATTCTGTGCACTCCCATTGTCTGCTCGATTATAAGATACTGTTGTCTGTATCTGCCTCTGCCACCAGATCACAAACACTGGGAGAGAGGGCTGTATTTTGTTCATCTCTATACATCTCACAGTGTAACATTGCACCCAGGTACCATATAGTTTTGCAGAATCCAGTAAATTTTTAGAATTTGGTGAACATTTTGTTCACCTACACATTGATTCATTTCATTCAGTTTTATTTAGTTGGATTTATTTCAGAAAATGACCACAAAGCCCCTGCTGTGTATCAGACAGGATGCTGGGGATACCAGATGAATAACTTATAACATTTATGTAAGGAAATTATGGCTGCCTTAATCAAGATAAAGTCCATTCTCTACTAGGTTAGCCCTAGAAGTAGATGTTCAAATGAGGATGGGCATCAAACCTTACAGATCTCTGGTACCTTCACCCAGGGCAATGACCCTCAACCTTGACTGCCCTTTGGAATCATTGGAGAGCTTTAAAAACGCTGATGGCCTTGCCCAGAAATTCTGATTTAATTGGTCTGGGGTGTGGCCTGAGCATCTGAATATTTCAGAAACGGTCCCAGGCGACTCTCATGTGCAATTCAGGTTATGACCTACTTCCCTAAGTCAAAGGTTCTCAAAACTCAGTACACCCAAGAATCATCTGGCTAGTTTTCTAAGATACAGATTCTTGGGCCTCATCCTCAGGCATACCGATTCAGTAGATTTAAAGTAGAGCCTAAGGGGGCCCCTGGGTGGCTCAGTGGGTTAAAGCCTCTGCCTTCGGCTCAGGTCGTGGTCCCATGGTCCTGGGATCGAGCCCCGCATCCGGCTCTCTGCTCAGCAGGGAGCCTGCTTCCCTTCCTCTCTCTCTGCCTGCCTCTCTGCCTAGTTGTGATCTCCGTCTGTCAAATAAATAAATAAAATCTTAAAAAAAAAAAATAAAGTAGAGCCTAAGAAACTACATTTTAACATGCAGTCTGGATAATTTTGATGGAAAATACTGCTTGGAGAAATTGGTTGTCCTTAAGGTATTGAGTTTTCTCAT